GAGCCTGCATTCTAGAGCCCACGAGCCACAACTACTGAGCCTGCATGCCACAACTACTGAAGCCTGCGCACCTAGAGCCCGTGCTCTGCCACAAGAGAAGCCACCGCAATGAGAAGCCCGTGCACTGCAAGGAAGAGTAGCCCGCGCGCAGCAACAAAGACCCAACGCAGCCAAAAATAAATAAATTTATTAAAAAAATAAATTTAATTTTATGACAAATCCAGATAAACCACATACCATCATGATCTTTTTTGAACACAAGAGTCAAAAAGCATTTTACGAAAGCACCAACCACTGACATCTTTGCCACACCTTTTCCAGAAACTACGCCAAAGGACTCTTTGTCGGGGGCAGGGTCAGAGGAGTGGATTATGAGGAGGGTGAAGACAGTTAGGTGATCCTCTGAGACTTACCATTAGTAAAAATCTACCACTGAGGGTTTTTTAAACAGATGCCTTTAAGGGACAAGGATACAATATACCTCAAAGTAAAGCAGGAAAAGCAAGGTTTGTCATAATCTAATTAAAGTAAGGCTGAAGATTAAAAACAAACACACTGTAACCTAACAAACTGAGGGAAGTTAGTGACCAGAGGGAAAAGAAAAACAGCAGCCCGTGTGAAGTCTAGGGAAACGAAAACCTAAGAGTAAGACTCTTGTTACCTGCCTCTCATCCTAGAAGCAGGGGGTATGCCTGTTAGGGATGCAAGCCAACCTGGTCTGTTAGCATTAGTCACTAAGATCATTCAACTAATTTCCCTAGCTGATGTCATGCTTACCAATCAATCTCTTAATTATACTTTGGCTTTCTACAGGCAAAAGAATACACTGACCCAGCAGGTACAGACAAAGCCACGTAGGAGCTGAAGCACAGTACCTGAACCTTGCTTACCGTATGCTGCCCAGGGAATGCCAGCTTATAAAGACCCACAGCAGTCACTGGCCAAACTCTTTTTCCAACATTTCCCCCATTTTCTCTTTAAAGAAATTATTTCCAATGGCCTACTGACTGGAGGCATCAAAGTGTCTTTATAAACAATACATACCACCTGGTCAAATGAGAAGGCTAAAACAACAGCATGCTATGAGTAAAAATTATAATCACTGAGGAATGAGGAATTATTAAGTAACAGGAAGTTATTAAGGCAACGTATCCAGTAAACAATCAAGACTTTATATCCCCTTATTTCAGTAGGGCTCAGAACAAGATTTACAAGACATTAAGAGAATGCAAGTGAAAGAAGTAGAAGCAACTTCTAACAATATGACAATTAAAGGGAACCACAAGGGCTTCCCTGGTGGCGCAGTGGTTGAGAGTCCGCCTGCCGATGCAGGGGACACGGGTTCGTGCCCCGGTCCAGGAAGATCCCACATGCCGCAGAGCGGCTGGGCCCGTGAGCCATGGCCCCTGAGCCTGCGCGTCCGGAGCCTGTGCTCCGCAGCGGGAGAGGCCACAACAGTGAGAGGCCCGCGTACCGCAAAAAAAAAAAAAAAAAAAAAAAAGGGAACCACAAAGTCCTTCTTGAAAGACGAGCTGTCCCCATTTCAGAACATGAAGGAGCTTCTGCTATCACTGGAGCCCTTTGTTACTGCTGTGTGGTCGCTGCTTCTCTGCCTAAAGCCACCCCTGCCAACAGTATCTCCCCTAGTAAGGGTCTCAAGCCGCGCCCATCACTGATGCTGCCAGGAGAGCCTGCAGCTGCACCATAAGGTGGGTTTCGCTAAGGAGAATAAATAAGTGACATCCAGTGGCAAGACTGAAACAAGCAGGCTCCAAGGGGACATTCAAGGAGAGGGAGAGATCAAACCACCTAGGAGGGACAGAATATTGAAGTACTTTTTTAGTAGTGAAACCCATTTTTTCAAATGAACTTATAAGAACCATATTATAAAAAGTAAATAAAGTCACTGGTTAAAAAAAGTTATTTCATGTAACAAGTACTTTACACGGGTCAATAAATGAGAACAAGGAGGCTATTTTTTTTTAAATTTTTTTTAATTTATTTTTTAAAATTTATTATTTTGGCACTGGGTTTTTGTTGCTGCACAAGGGCTTTCTCTAGTTGCGGTGAGTGGGGGCTACTCTTGGTTGCGGTGCGTGGGCTTCTCACTGCAGTGGCTCCTCTTGTTGAGGACCGCAGGCTCTAGGCACGCAGGCTTCAGTAGTAGTTGTGGCTCACGGGCTCTAGAGCGCAGGCTCAGTAGTTGTGGCGCACAGGTTTAGTTGCTCGCGGCATGTGGGATCCTCCCGGACCAGGGCTTAGAACCTGTGTCCCCTGCATTTGGCAGGCGGATTCTTAACCACTGCGCCACCAGGGAAGCCCTAACATAAACATTTTTATGAAAGCTTACAGGGGATAGGAGCAGTCTCGTATCAGCCTTAATAGCCAAGATCTGTGTTTCTTTTAAACGCAGCTTCAAGAAATCACAAAAGTAAATTGTTCCAAATTAGTTTTAAAAGCTCTCCTTATAATCTCAGGATCCTCCTACAACTGACCCAGAAGCTTAAAAAAGAAATTATAAGGAATGCTTATTTCTAAGTTTAATCACTAACAATAACAACTGCTATCCTTATCATGAATTATTTATCAAAAACAAGGACAAGAAGTATCCACCACTGACAACAGGCAGTAAACCCATAAGAGCACTGTCGCTTCTCAACCTGTTTTGTGTTCCCCGGTCATTGCATAATTCTCACATCAGCACGCGCTGAGCAGATGTACTGGGCTGGCACCTGCCTCGCTGCCGCACTGGCCAACGTGTGCGGGCCTGCTTTCCACAAAAGACCTGTGCATCAGATCAGCCTTCCTCATCAATGACACATCGACATGAAGTGCATGAACAAAGATGGCAGATGGAGCTTTATTCTGGTCTGTCCCAAACCAGTTAACCTAGTAGCACAAGTCACGTTATTGGTCTCCTATGCGTTAAATGTGGCATCTAGCATTATTTGAAAATGCATGTTGAGCTTCTTTAAAATGGTTAAAAACACAGGTAAAAGAAATTCAAATAAACAACTGCAGAGCCCCTGAAGCATCTTTTACTAATGATCTACAGTAAGTTGGTCAGAGGTCAGCTCTGTGTATTAAAGAGGTGGTGGTGACAATAAGGACGTATAAGAGAAAAAATAACAGCTTTGTCAAGTAATGTTTTACAGATTTGCTATTGTAAAATTAACTGCAATGTTGCTAAGAAAAATATTTCTAAGATCTTCTTGTTCTGTACAGTGCTGTTCACTTAAAGTTGAAGCCGATTATCCTGACCTATTTCTACTATAACAAAGACAGAAACCTAGCTGAAAACTAAAGATTTCTTTTTATCATTAGAGAAACAGTCGTTTTTTACAGCACATTTGCAATTCTCTCTGTTCCTTTTACCTAAGAGTGTTCACATCCATTTTTTCCCAGAGTATAGTTATACAGAATTATAACTTCTGATCTGCCCGTTTGTATAATGAAATCAACTCTCTTCTTCATGGCGGTTAAGAGCAGGGAATGTGCAGCCAGACCTGAGTTCAGCACTAACTGTGAAACCTTGGGCAAAACACTTAACTTTGTGCCTCAGTTTCCTCATCTTAAAAAGAGACAGTAATAGTATGTTCCTCATAAGGTTGTTGGTCAAGATTAAATGGGTTAATAGAAGCAAAGGAAATGGCACATTTTAAACGATTAGTAAGTGTTCGCTATTATTATTTTTAAAGAAAAACTTAAAGGAGTCAAAATACCCAAAGTATGAATCTACTACCAAATTTATATAATAAACTTTCTGACAAAAGTTCTAAAAATGTTAGATGTATTCCAAAGGACCAAAATGAATTCTCATTACACCATGTACCATTATTTACAGAAGCTGTTCCCTAAAAGTTCACAAGAGTATCTCGGAAGTACCTCAGAGTTAAGGAAAATGAAGAACGACTTTCTTCACAGCCTGTAAAAACCAAACAAATCTGTTTGGGCCGACTGGGTCATAACAAGCACGAATGTGGTTCCTGTATTCAGTTCTAACTACAGCTGCAGATTTTGTTTAAAATTTCTTTAAGGAGGAAAAAGAAAGAGGACACTTAACTCCCTTATTCCTGCAACTACAGAGCAAGATAGCAAGATGCAAGAGGAGACGTGGAAGTATTTTCCTTACAGGGGACAGGGGGCAGCAGTTTGCAAGTTTACACTGGGATGCAAAAGACAGGGGTAAGAGGGCATTTGAACATACAAACGGAGGCACATAAGAGGGAAATTCTTAGTTATGGTGAATTTCATCTCCCGATCAGAAAAATGACATAAGAATTCAGTAATAGAGCCCCTAGGGAACAGAATGCAACGAATGCTTTGGGTACCAAAGTTCCATATTAGAGCTTCCTGTGGGAGCAAAGTTTTGGACAAATCAATCCTTCACTTGATGTGCACGTGTGAGCAACAATCTGCACAACGCCACTACTCACGGCCGGTAAAGGGCCCTCAGAAAGAGAAACCAACCTGTTTGCACAGGCACACTCGGGGGGAGACAAACGGAGGGCAGGAGGAGAACGAAGGGGAAACAGCGAGTGTGCATCTGCTTCACGAGCGTCTACTTCTTTACTTGAGCGGGGGCGAAGGGGAGGTAGCATTTTCGCTTAGTAACGAGGGGCGTAGTTTCAGCGCGGCGCCGGTTCGGAAGCCTTGGAGGGGGAGGGGGAGGGGGAGGGGTGCCAGTCCCCGCAGGACCAGGGGCGCCCCGCTACGCTCCCGCCCCGCCGCATTCCCGGCGCGCGGCGATGCTGCAAGGAGGGCCGGCGGGCTAAGCGCTCGGCCGGACCCGCGGCGCCCCGGCAGGAGTCCCTGGGCCGACCCGGCGGCCGTGCCCTCCGTCCAGGGCTGCACCCCGCCCCTCCGGCCCGGCAGCCTGGATGCTCCCGCACCACCTGGCGGGAAGCAGAGGCCCCCACGCCCCCTCGTGCCCCCGACCAAGCTCGGGCCAGGACGAGACCCGCTTTCTGCGCCGGGCCCGCCGCGGCAGCCCCACTCACCTCGCCGCCCGGCAGCGCTCCGGCTCGGGTTCGGGTTCCGGCGGCGGCGGCGGCGGCGGCTCCTCCATGGCGGCGGCGGGAGTGACGGCGAAGGCGGGCGGCGGGACCAGCTCGGCGGCGGCGGCGGCTTCTCTCATCCGTGCACGGAGCCCCGCATGGCCGCGGCGGGCAGTAAGCTGCAGCCTGGCGCGGGGGACCGGAGCCCCGGAGTGCAGGAGTGACTCGGCTCCGCCTCCGCCTCTAGCCCGCCGCAGGAGCCGCTCGCGCCGCGGCCATCTTGGAGACGGCGACCGGCCAGCGCCGGGCTACGGCGGGTGGCGAGGGACAAGCTTCCCAGGGAGGCGGCGGCGGGCGCGGGGATGGACCGGCGGGGAAGGCCGGGGAGGGGAGGGGAGGGGTGGAGGCGTGGGAGACCGGGCGGCAGACAGCTAGCAGGTTGGGGTAGCGGCGCTCTGCCCCGGGGGCTGGGTCTCGCCGCCGCCGCCGTCTGGCTCCGCTCGCGGGGAGTGTGCGGTGGGCTGTGCGCGCCGGTGCTCCCAGGTGGTCAGCGGGGGGCGTGCACCGAGGGCCCCGGGAAGGGCATCGCGGCCTGGGTTAGGCGGCGACTCCTGACTTTGAAGTGCTTTGTGAACTTTAGCAAGAGGATCGTCGCCAAACGTAGATGCCATCCTCAGAAACAGGGATGGATGTAACGCTCACAGCTCACACGCGGGCGTGGAGGCTTTGGGAGACCTGTCAGTCCTGGGGGGCCGGGGGTGCACTCCGATGAAAGAGAAATCTTCAACACACACACAAGACTCAGGGTTCTGAGACTGTGTAAACAGACTCTGGAAACGCACAACATTAAAGTTACCCTGCTATCAACAGGGCGGGAAAGAACACTGATCTAACCTTCTAACCTCTGGAATCTGGTATTGATCTTCCAGAAACTCGGGCTGGAGTGCTCCTACACTAAAGGAAAAAAAAGAAAGAAGAGAACAGTTCTAAAGATTATTTCAGAGTTGTAAAAATACTGTTGAAATATCACCGCCTCATTTACTCTGAGAGCATCTGAGGCTTCACAGTTTTAATTTGCAAATATTTACAAAATTTCCCTTAAGGTGAAGTCCAGAGTTAATTCAAAACCAGTATCGTTTAAAATTAAGTACATTTCTGTTGATTCAAATGCACTGGTTTTCAAAAGCTCATTTGGTGGAGGTTGAGTATGTAAAATACACGTTTTGATTAAACGTTGGTAAGAAAAGTGGCCAAGATGGAAAAGTTTAAATGTGATTATATTTAAAGGCCAGTTAGCTATGTCGCATTCATAAGTACATTATACTGTATATACATATTCGTGTATTTCACATATATGTGTGAAATTAGCTATAGTGCATTCAAAGTACGTTACAGAAATTTCTCTGTAGTTTAAGAACTTTTTCAGTCTATTTTCTTTATTAAGATAGCCTATTATTATATGACCTGGTAGTGCTGAATTTCCAAATTGACATTCCTTTTATTTACTCAAAAACAGTTATTCAACAAATACTTACTAAATGCATATATGTGCCGGGAACTAAGCTAGATGCTGGGGATATAGTAGTAAGCAAAACAAAGTCTTTTCCTGGTAGAGATAACATCCTAGATGAGTAAGGGGAAGAGAAAGGACAGAAGAAAAACAAACAAGTAAATACTTAGCATATCAGCGGGTGATAACTGCTATGGAGAAAAGTAAGCTGAGAAGAGGCTGGAGGGGACGATGCTATTTTACGCAGATTGATCAGAATAAAGTTAAATGATTTGGTCATAGCACTGTTTCAAAAGAAAATTGTGATAACTTCTTACTTATTGAATTTCAAATTTTCTTTTGAAACAGTGCTATGACCAAATCACTTAACTTTATCCTCACTAACACATCTTTAGGTATTGTAAGAGTCTGAATCAGTTATAGTTCACAAATAACTCCTGAAGACAGTCAACCTGGGGCCTGTCCTCAGGTCTCCCCGCTTGTAAATCTATAATATTTGATGTATAGACCAGCATTTGAGAGATGTATGGTTTGCTGTTGTTTTAATTGCCACTTGAGGGTACTATTTTAGCAGAAATCAAACAAATTTACACTTAACTAATCATGTAAGGCACGTAGAGACCCAAGTTAACTAGTACTAAGTGTTCAATTTAAGTGCTGTGAATCTTTTCTTCATTCAAGTTAATTTTGTGTCCCGTATCAGCCTTTTTTGTTTTTGTTCTCCTCCTATTCTATGCCACTTCGTTTCTGCAATTCAGTACTCCAGATTTCAAGATCTGAATTTGTTTCCTTCTTACGCACACCAGTCTCACTTCCACTCCTTGCCTGTGTTCTCTGACTTGATGAACTACAGCACCTTAACCCAGTCAGAACTCTGAACAACCACCCACTCAGCCCCTGACTGATGGGTCCAAGCCCCATCAAACTCTCCCTCCCTCTGGAATCCCTTCACTTCTCTCCATCCTCGCTAGCTAGCTCAGACCACTGTCGCATCTCCCTGGATAACCGCGACAGTCTCCAGCTCTCCCTGCCTGTTGGAGTGCTCACTCCCCAACCAATCTCTTCTCATGCTGCAGGCCACAGTAGCCTTTCTGATCTAAACTGATCTAAACATGTCACTCTTATCTAATTCATTTTACTGACATCTCGTTGCTGTCACAATAAAGTCCTTACCGGACCTTTTTGAGTTCTTCACATGCTCCATACTTGGTCCTGCTACTCGGATTGTGCAAAAGGAGGTTCTATTCCATCACACTACCTTTCCACTTGGCCCACCCTTTCCAGTCTAAGCCGTGCCTGCTTCTTCGGAGGCCACCTCTCACCTGGTGACGAGCTCTCCCTAGGGCAGGAACAAGATGCGGGCACTCCTGCAGGCTACGAATTGGCATCCATTCTAATGGTGATTTAAAAATAGTCCAAAAGGGAAAAACTGATTTCATCTTAATAAAAACTATTCTTTACACACTAATTCAAGGCCACTGTGTGAAGAAAACTCTGCAAAGTATTTCCCAGCTTTCTGTAATTCTAGTTTTCCTAATGTTCCTTTACAATCCTCCAAGCCAGAATCCTTCTTGGAAGACATATTAGCTTTACATGTTACAGAACCAAACAGATCCCTCTCCTCTAAATAACACTATACCATGTATTCTTCGATGCTGGTATTCAACCAGCTTTGACCACTGACTTTGAGGGAACAGAGAGGCACACACATGCACCTGCCACAGAAACACTCAGCAACACAGACCAGCGTCAGGGAGACTTGTTTTCATTTCCACCTGAGGGTACTGTCTGTTTCAGCAGGAGCCAAACAAATTTACATCGAGCTGATCAGGTAAGGCTTCATGTGTAGGAACCCTACTTAACTGGTACTAAATGTTCAATTAAAGTGCATGACTTTTTGCCCCTGCCCAGGCCCTCACAGCCTTCACTCCCTCCAGCCCCCAGATTCCTTCTCTGCTGGGGTGTCCACTCCTTCAGGACAGACACCTTCTGTGGGACCCAAATCATCCCTTATTTCACTACCACTGACCTCCGACCACCATGGGAACAGTCCTGGAGGGAGGGGACCAAGGCTTCATTGGGTGCCCCAAACATCGGAGGACCTCAGTAAATATTATTGCTTTCAGAAAGTAGGATCTTTTATTTTAACATTAATGAACTACTATTATAATTAGATTTTTGTCTCTAAATTTATCACTGTTTAGCATGTGGCTGATCTCATTGCCTTTAATCATGTTCTTAAAACCAATGGCAATAAGATCTTCAGAGGATTGCCTCTCACTCTGTCCTCGAGACTGAATCCACATAGCCCTTATTAACTTTCTTTACTTTAAAATGAGTTACAAAAGCCAGATTAAAGTTCTACCAAAGGTCCAGTTTAGGTTAAGCTACAGAACATTCTTAACTTTGTTTGCCACTAGTTTCAGGCCCAATTTTGACACATTCTACCACTATGATAAAGCCTTAAACCAACATAGGTATAGATATCCATCTGTCTGTGTATCTATATCTATGTATGTATCAGTGTTAAGGGCATCATTATAATACCTTAGCGTCTTATCAAGGCTAGTGTATTAGCAGAAACTTAATTTTATGGTTCTGTGCAAAGATAATTCAAAAAGAATGTTTGTGCTCAAGCTATGCTGTAAATAGGGTTATGTCTTTGTTTAAGAAAACAAAACAAAACAAAACCTCTAAGGCTGTAGGTTTTTAATTATTCTGAGCATGGGGCTGCACTTTACCTAGAATAAGTTTCTCGCTTCCCTATGGTACTCGTGAGCTTCCCACCTAGATTCTTCACCAGCCCTGCCCTCTCCTCTCTGGTGGCTCCTTAGCAGCTCTGCAGAGGCAGAAAGACAAGAGTACAAACCTCCCAATCTGCTCGTGACCAGAGGGGATCGATTCCTGTTCACTCCAGCACACACGGAGAAAGGCCAACTCAGTGACAGAGCAATGAAAACCTCACTCCAAGCAAGGAAAAACTAAACTGGGCGTTTCATACATGGATTTTTTTTTTTTTCCAAAATGATACTATGGCATCTATTTCTACCTACCAGTAAAGCACACAAAAAATTGGATACATACAAAGGATAATTAGTTGCCACACTTTTAACTGGTCCTTGTAACATTTAAGTTTAGTCTTTCTCTTTTGAATAGTGGCAAGTTAGATAAAATCTCCCTTGGTTTTTTTCTAAGAGGTGATTTGACCGTTTTTCTTATTTCTCCACCAGGACCCAAATCATCCCTTATTTCAGAGGTGCTTGTCTGTGCAAACAAAGGATCTAGAGAGTGCATCACCCCGCCAGCTCTGAATCATTAAACCAAGGACAAAACATTACTCTCGCTATTTTTTTCAATGGTTAGAATAGTGTGAATGAAACTAATTAAGAGAAAGGAAGTGGCCTCTAACAAAGAACAAGTCGGACTCTAAAGGGTGAGAGATGCATTAGCGGAAATCCACACGGTGAAGAGCCCTCCTTCTGGAAGCTTCCAGAAGGAAGCTCAGGCAGTGGACGTCAGGAGAGCCCACATCTCATCTCTGCTCTGACTTCTCATTCCACCTCTCCAGGATCCTGCCAATGTGAGGAACGGGTGGCTTTAAACAAATGAAATCTCTGAGAGAGCCAGCTCTTCTTGCTGGCCAAACATTTCAGTTATTTTCCCCACCAAAACGGCCACAGAACTTGCCTGATTCTCATCCTTTCGCTTCTCTTTCAGACATCCAGGTGTGACTTTTAGAGAATTGTGAAGCTGCAGTTCCTAAATTATTTTCAGATCCCTTCAAATCAAGAGGCCTAGACTTTGCACACAGCCCGGAACCAGCACTCGGAGCTTGTGTGGAACAAGTGCCAAGCTCCCGCACCCTCTACCAGGGGCTTCTGCTCCCCATTGCCACGTGGCGGTGTCACCTCTCCTTCCAAATGAAGTTCAGGGGCCTCCCACCCGCTCTGGGAAGACTCCTCTGAGCTCCACCACTAGCCTGCCCTACCCTGACAGTGAGGTGCTCCCCTGAAGGCCCCCGTAACATCTCAGGCAAACCCTTAGTTTAGCACCATCTACATTTCCTATCTGGTTGATGACATGTGTATTTCTTACCCTGTGACCTTCTCCAGAGCGGGCAATATTTCTTGCTATCGCTGTATCTTCAGCACCTAGAATAACATCCTACACATAGTACATGTTCAGTAAAATGTCTGTTGAAAAAATAAACTGGATGGATGGATGGATGGATGGATCTAATTGGGGAAATAAGCCTAAGGTAACAATTACTGTGGTATAAATAGACTCTGAGAAGCATCAAAAGGCAGATTTTTTAAAGGGTAACAGATGTTGTGAAGAGACACAACCAAAGTAGACACAAGTAAGGAAGAAAAACTATATAAAATAGACATTCAGTATGAGGCATAAAAGCAATGTTAACTCATATCATGTGAGGTTTTAATTGACAAAAATTTATTAGAAAGAAAAGAAATAACCTGTATTCTTATATTGACAGTGGACCATCTTAATGGCTCTTTGGGCTATTTGCGTCTATACACTTACACACCAACAAATAAAAGGCTCTTACATTATTCTGGTTGAAGTAAGATAGTCGTCAGGATAAATACTGAAATGGAGCTTAAAACACAGATTTTTTCTGAGCTATGACTCTGATGCACATTAGAAATATTTCAAGGCAATGGACTCATAACCAAAGGCCAGAAATAAGTTCCAAAAAGAAAAGAGCCATCCTTCTGAAGTTTACAGTTTCAGAGTAGTTTTGCAACAACATGAAATCTTGAGTTGGAAACATCCTTGGAAGCTACCTAATCGGCCTTTTCAGAACAAGATTTTTCTCTTCATCAATCACAAGTGTCCCAGTTTCATAAGGCAGTCTATCCTGTATTTTAACAACTCATTGTTAGGAAATCACTGTTTATAATCCTTCCCAAAGTGCCTCCCTAATACGTCTATCCAGTGTTCTAGCTAGGGCTACATAAAATAAACGTTTGACATTTGAGAACAGCTATTTTGTGGTTCTCCTCCAAAATGGTAACAAATGTTTTTTTTTAATTTCCAGAGTAATCATGCTCTTCCCTCACTCCATCCGGACTTGGGTGATATAGGCTGGAGATAATTCCGTTGGAAGATTTTTCTTACAATGATTCACTTGATAATTCAGATTTGGTTAGTTTTGATTAAACTAATCAGAGCACTTGAAATCATAACTTCAGAACAGTTTTACTTCAAATACATTTCAAAATATAATTAGAAGGTATTTAAGAAAAGAGTGTTTAATGGTTCATTCCTATTTAAGCGAAGGACATTATGTGCTCATAGCAACCAGAATCATTCAACAGTATAAAAGGAAGCTGAGCCTTTGGTTTTTAAAGCACTGCTTTTCGAAATGTGACGTGTATATGCATCACCTGGAGATCTTGCTAAACTGCAGATTCCCAAATCAGTGAGTTTAAGGTGGGACCTGAGAATCTGCATTTCAAACAAACTCCCAAGTGCTGTGGATGCTGCCTGAAGGTGGACCACACTTTGAACTGCAAGGATAGAGCACTCTGCTTGGATAGCCAACAGACCTGTGCTTAAAGAAAATGACCAAGAGAAAAGATGGAGGTGTTAATTTCAAGCAAAGGTAACTAAGCCCCACTGGCCAGGTGCAATCAGCACACATGTGGTAATCCTGGTGTTGTGGGTTAATTGTGTCCTTCCAGAAGATTATGGTGAAGTTCTAACCCTGGCCCTTGTGAATGTGACCTTATTTGGGAATGGGATCTTTGCAGATGCATTTAAGATGTAAATTACGATGAGGTCCTACCAGAGTAGGATTGGCCTTAATTCAATGCAAGTGGCATCCTTATAAGAAGAGTAGAATCGACACAAAGATAGACACACACAGGGGTAAGGCGACGTGGAGAGACGGGGGAAGGCCGTGTGACAATAGAGACAAAGATTGGAGTGATGTATCTACAAGCCAACGATGGCGGGCAAATACCAGAAGCCAGGAAGAGGCAGGGAAGGATCCTCACCTAGAGCCTTCAGAGAGAGCATGGCCCTGCAGACACCTTGAGTTTGGACTTCTGGCCTTCAGAAGTGTGAGAGCATAAATGTCTATTGCTTGAAGCCACTCGGTCTTGGTGCTTTGTCATGCAGCCCTGGGAAACTAATACACTAGATTTCACATAGCGGCCAGGAGGACCTACAGCCACTCCAGGGAATCACTGCCGGAGCATCAGGAAGCTGTGTTTCCTCTGAGGAAAAGTTCCCAGAGTGGGCTGGGAGGACACCAACGCAACAACAGCCATGAAACAAAACATCCACCTGCTTGGGCGAATTCGAGGATGGATGCACTTACATTACGGCAGAGGAGTAACTTATAAGATGCCTACACGAAGAAGCGCCTGTTCATTACGTTTTAGGAGCGTTGTTCAAAACAGTTTGGGAAGTAAGATACAGATCAGTGGGTCTTCTCTTTGGCTGCATGACAGAATTTCCTGGGGAGGTTTTAAAAAACCTTAATGCTAGGGTCCCGCCCCTCTCCTACATCTGAGCTGAACTGGTCTGGGATGGGGCCCCAGCATCGATACACTGAGAAGATTCCTCAGGTAATTCTAAATTCCAGCCAGGGTTAGAACCACTGTTACAGATCCGAACTTTCAACTGCAGGATGACCTTGGGAAACACGGTCCAAGCGGATGCCTCACTTATTTACCGAGGGCTCAGTCGGAACAACACTGCACGGGCTGGAGGTGGGAAGACAGAAGTCTAGATAACCAGCTGCCGACTCCACGGGAGGTGCCATCCAGTAGGGATCCAGGCGCCCAAACACAGAACTTTCCAGCTTAGCCTTGACTGCACTGGTTGTCCACATGGGTGCCCCCTACGCAATTTAGGTATCTTTCCCCACAGAGAGTAGGCCTGTACTGCCGGCTGTCCAATGTCTGCAAACAATTGTTTGATATGTTTTGTCCAATTTTCTAGTCGTTTATAGTGGGTGGGTGTGTTAGTTTCCTAGGGCCGCTCTAACAAAGTACCACCGACTGGGTGACTTAAGACAACAGAAATTTATTCTTTCACAGGTCTGATGGCCAGGAGTCCAAAGTCAAGGTGTCAGCAGGGTTGGCTCCTTCTGGGGGGCTCAGAGCAAGAATCCGTTCCACGGCTCCCTCCTGGGTTGTGGTGGCAGACAGCAGTCCTTGGCCTTCCTTGGCTTCCAGTAGCATCACTCCAATCTCTGCCTCAGTCATCACATGGCCGTCTTCTGTCTGTCTGTCTCTGTGTCTCTTCTTATAAGGACACGGTTATACTGGATAAAGGGCCCACCCTACTCCACGATGACCTCATCTTAACTAACTACACTGGCAACCATCCTATTCCCAAATATCGTCACATTCTGAGGTTCCCAGGAAGGACGTGAATTTTAGGGTGACACTATTCAATCCAGTACAGTGGGTCAGTGTGGTTCCTGTCACTCCCCAAATATTCCAGAATCGAAGTCCTCACTTGAATTGCAAACTCCCTGCCAGAAGGATTGGTTCTTATGTCCTTTTGTGCCATTCACCACGCTCTCCACTAGTGCGACTCACATTTTGAAACGAGTTAGAGTCCTACGCTAAACAATAACCAAGTGTTCTGTAAGTGCAGATTTCAGGGCCCACCCAGTCCCTGCTGGGTCAGTGTCTCTAGGGATGCAGACTGGGAACCTGCATTTTCTAGGGCTCCTGGGTGGTTCTGATGGGGTCGAGCCTTGTTCTCTACACCGAGAGACTCTGACATGGTGTTCAACGGCATATGCTTTGCAGTAAAAGGGAGGTGAGTTCAGATTCTCACAGGGTGTATTAGTCAGGGTTCAAGAGAAACAGAACCAATAGGATACATATATATTTATGCATAAATATATATAAGAGATTCATTTTAAGGAATTGGCTCTCACAAGATTACGGAGTCTGTGGGCTACCAAGCTGGAGACAAGGGGAGACCCAATGTGCAGACGAAATCCAAAGGCCATCTGCTGGCAGGGTTCTCCCTTGCTTTAGGGCAGGCTTTTGTTCTATGCAGGGTGTCAACTGATTGGACGAGGCCCACCTACATTATGGAGGGCAATCTGCTTTACTCAACATCCACCACTTTTAATGTTCATCTCATCCCAAAAAACCTCACAGAAACATCCAGAATAATGTTTGACCACATATGTGGACAATGCAGCCCAGACAAATTGACACAAAATTAACCATCACACAGGGACTCACCAAGTCCAGCACTGAGAGCTAAATAAGAGAGTAGCAGGAGGAAGGAGGGGGGTAGCAGCAGGTTGGCACATCCTAGCTTTGTGTTTCTCCAAGCAGGATCCTTTGGCCACTGGCATCGCAAGCTCTATACGGAAATGCAAATCACTAGTTCCCACCCAGGAATCAGTGAATCAGACCCCTGGGTTAGGACTCAGGCATCTTTTCAACAAATTCCTGGGTTATATTTGTTAATAAATATAAGTAATACGTGTATATTATAAATATTATAAAATATACTGTATATTTATTATACATATATAATATCATTATACTATAATAAAATTAATATTTACATATAAATGTGATATAAACCTATTGTATAAATATTATATTATAATGTATTTATATTAGAAATCATATAAATCAGTGTGAGAACAAGAGCCAGTAGTCACATTAGATCTTTGGTTTTCTTTGCATCTTTCTTCTAATTTTACACATGGTGCAGCAGAGGAAGTTTAAGACATTGTATTGACCAACTGACTGCAGAGCTAGAATCGTCTGTGTCTCAAACATGACTGTCATAAAGCAACATATGTGGGCCCTTCTGGAGGGAGGCTGATGAGAGACAACTTCGGACGGGAGGTGGCATTTGAGCAGGGCCTCAAGAGACCAGTGGGCTGTCACAGGTAGGAGGCTGGGAGGGCACTGAGGGAGACAGAAGGACAGAGAGAAAAGGCGCACGCAGTTCAAGATGATGTGGTGATAAGGGTGGGACGCGTGGGGCTTAGGAAGTGAAGCCTTTCAGATGTCATTCTCTACTTTGTGTGCAGCCCGCAGTGGCTCCCGGATGGCCCCCAAGTTATTCTTCTCAGTTTAGAGTGGTTTTTCTTCTTTCATATTGTGATTTTTATTGATTTTGGAATGCTTCTTTCTTTGACGTGTTACATTTTACATTTTATATGCACTTCTTCTTAGCATATTTTAGATTTTACTTCATGTACAATCGGAGGGTTTGGGGAGGGGTTATGGTTTTTAACTTTTTATTTTATTTATTATTATTTTTTGCAGTACGCGGGCCTCTCACTGTTGCGGCCTCTCCCGTTGCGGAGCACAGACTCCGGACGCGCAGGCTCAGCGGCCATGGCTCACGGGCTCAGCCGCTCCGCGGCATGTGGGATCTTCCCAGACCGGGGCACGAACCCGTGTCCCCTGCATCGGCAGGCCGACTCTCAACCACTGCGCCACCAGGGAAGCCCTAACTTTTTATTTTTATACAACTTTTAAAGATTGTTTTCCGTTTGGTTACGACAAAATATTGGCTATGTCCCCCGTGTTGTACAATACAGCCTTGAGCCTGTCTTACACCCAGTAGTTTGTGCCTCCTACCCCCCACCCCCTATGTTGCCCCTCTCCCCCACCACTGGTAACTAGTTTTTTCTCTATATACCAGTTTAGAGTCTTAATTTTAGATTCTTAGTGCAATACAAACTGTCATAACGAGAGGGCAGGTTAAAATGCATGTGGGAATTGCCGTGGTTCCCCAGCAGCAGCCCAGGGGCCTGAGCCTGAGGTGCTTGGGCCACTTCAGGAGAGACTGTTAGCCCCCATCCATGTCTAAAACCACAGAGGACTGAGGCCTAGGGACTGTGAATCTCTCTCTCCACTGGCAGCCTGGTGTGATTCACTCATCCCAGATCCCCAGTCTGTCAGAGCATCCCCAGGTCCCGTTTTGCTGGGCGCTGGGGAGCTGTGTGAAAGCAGAAGCCAAGCAGGTGGCTTGGACATGTCAGAGCACTTCTGGCCAAACTTCTCCTGTCCCCACTGCCTGCCTGACGCTTCTGTTAGGATTAGGCCTTCACTGTGGGTGTTTGCAAAGTGGCCAGACACCTTGGCCACATGAGGGCGGATGTGTGGGAGAGCATTCTGGTTACTTTATCTGGGTTCTGGGTTTGTTCCCATTTCCTCCTTGAAAGTGAAAAAGAAGGAATAACGCCTGAGTGTGGAGACAGCCCTTGTCCTCCAAATACAGGCTTGGTCCCTTTCCTTGTCTCTCCTCTATTCCCTGAGTCCAACAGAGTAGGTGGGACAGCGAGTCTGTCCCCTGCATACTCCCTGCTTGAATGGACACCATGTACCCGTTGTAACCCCACCCAGGGGCGTCCTTACATCTGCGGTCCAGAGTCCGCTGCCACAGCTCTCAGGCTTCCAGATTCAACTGTCTCATCTCCTGATTATTAACACTAAAAAAAAAAAAAATCATGGGACTTCCTTGGTGGTGCTGTGGTTAGGAATCCACCTGCCAGTGCAGGGGACACGGGTTCAAGCCCTGGTCGGGAAAGATCCCACATGCCGCGGAGCAACTAAGCCCGTGTGCCACAACTACCGAGCCTGTGCTCTAGAGGCCATGATCCACAACTGCTGAGCCCATGTGTCACAACTACTGAAGCCCGCATTCCTAGAGCCCGTGCTCCACAACAAGAGAAGCCACCACAATAAGAAGTCCTCGCACTGCAACGAAGCGTAGCCCCTGCTCGCCGCAACTAGAGAAAGCCCGCGCACAGCAATGAAGACCCAACGCAGCCAAAAAAAAAAAAAAAAAAAAACTTCCTCAGCCAGTTCCTCTAGGATGTGGCTTGCAAATCAGCCTCCCTTTCCTAGAAGTGGCTCTTAGACATTTTAGATTGAGATGAAAGTTGTTTTTTTAAAAAATACTCGTGTTGAGTTTAAGAAACAACACTGTCAACATCAGAGCATAAAACAAAAGATAAGCGTTAGAGACCTCTGGCTTTATCGTGATCCTAGGCATTAAAATGTTTAGAGGAGAAAAACAAGAGATCTTAAAAGATGCTTCATTATCAACATTAACAATTTCAATAATTGCAAATTAATGCCCCCCCTTTATTTCTGAGCACTTTCAGGACACCCTCATTTCAGGCGAGATTATTATTCACCTACTGTATGCAGGCTCTGTGCTAGTCACGGAGGAAAAGGTCAAGCGCACCTGGGAGTGTGGGATCTGGTTGGGAGATAAGGTAACATTTAAGTAACAATGTCAGGCAGTTAAGTGTCTGCCCTGCTCTCTGCCCATCCTTCTGGATCTAGACTGTTACCTCCTCTGTGACAAAGTCTTCAGCCTCGCCAGGTCTCTCCCTACCAGGGCCCAGCATTCTCAGCCCACCTGGCCACTTCCGGGAGCACAGCCTTCCCTTGTGAATTGCTTGTCTTGTGTGTGCCGCATTTGTCCCTGAGCTGGATGGCAATCTTTTGGGAGACAAGGATCTACATTTTTTCTGCATTCTTCTCAGCAACTAGTACATGGACAAGACTCAATAAACAGTCAAGTGATAAAGTGCAGGGTTCAGGCTTCACGAGGCCCCACTCCCCGGCATCTCAGAGAGGAGAACAACCAGGAAGTAATCAATGTCAATAATTGTGATCAGTTATGAGCTGGAGGCTCCAAAGGCCAAGGTCAGTAGGTTATCTATTTTCACATCAAAACCAATCGTAACCAGCTTTGTGTGTTCTGAACTAATTTCTGACAAATGAACAAAAAGCACCCCAATTACTAGTCCCAGGGCGCCCAGACTATCCAGTGGAACATTGCAGGAAGGGGCCGTGAGGGATCTTTGAAATCTTTGTTATTCTCCAGGAAACATTTCAGTGAATATAATCATGACAAGGCCAGGTCTCTAATGCTTATCTTTAACTGTTACTTGTTCTATGCTCTGATGTTGACAATGTTCTTTCCTTAATTCAACGTGTGTGTTTTAAAAATCAACTTTTACCTCAATTGAAAGTACCTAAGAGCCATTTCTACTTCCATGAATCAAAG